TCTTCTTCTTCGTTTTACTCCTTTCAGTTGCAGTCTAATTTAAATTAAACTAATTTGTAAATCTTAAACAAGCAAGCAGCTCGACCGAGGCACTTGCTACAGTTGTATGCCCTCAACATGCCCTTGCAACATTGAACGCACACACACACACGCTGACACAGACACATGTACATGTACACAGTGTATTTTTAACCCAAATCCATTAGAGCAGTTACTCAAGAACGCTTTAGATATTTATGTGCTGTGCACAGTAACAGACACAGATATACACGGCGCTTGAGGGACACTCAACAGATGCACAGATACAGCTAAAGCTACGCAGAGGTCACATACACACGCATACGCACACACACGCACACGCGCACACCCAGACAACAGCTCAGCGGCAGGAAACATCAAGTAAATAGCAAACGGCGACTGCACTTGGGGGCAAATAACGCTGGCAAACAAATACGCAAACATTTATAAGACTGCTAAGCTCATAACGAAATGCACTTACACTTGACAACGCACACACTCTCACACTCTCTCTCACACACACACGCGCAGTCACAGTCACAGCTATACCTCAAGCATGCAGGCAGCTTTAGAGTCAAATGCCCGAGCAGCAGCCGCGACTGGTTGTATCTTTATACGCAGCACCAAGTATACGACCCCCAGTCCAGGTCTGTATTTGGAAGCGAGCTCATCTGGCATTCATACGGCTGCCCCATGTGCCACAGCCACTAGCGAATACTCAACCACTTTGAGTGTGTGCGTGTGTGTCTGTATGTGTTGCAGCTGCTGCTGCTGTTTGGCTTGGCTGACGAACGTTGCTTGAATAGTCGTCAGTTGCTGCAGCTTAAGACTAGCGAAAAATGTGACTGTCTGTTGCGTGCGTGTATGTGTGTGTTTGTGTGTGTGTGTGTGTGTGTGGCACGTGTCTGTGTTGCAGCTGCGGCTGCAAATCGCAGCTGGTCAAATGTAATTAACTGCATATTTCAGGGGAAATTAAGAAATTGCCTGGCCAGACAGCTGCGGGCCACACGTTTTGCACACGCTCGTTGCCAGTTCACATGCCGCACACACAGCAGCTGCTGTCTGCACTGTCTGGCCCTACTGTCACTCAATGCCTGCATATGGTGCCCGCATCACACACACACACACACACTCTTACTCTTTACACACATTCTTCCACATGTCCGCGCATATTAAAAGTTTAATGTAAATGTAATGAGCGCCAGCGCATGCAAATGAACAGTTTGGCTTTGGCCTTTTTACTCTCCCGTTTTTTTTTTTTGTGTTTTTTCATTTTAATTTTTTTATTGCGTGCTGCATGTGAATGTTGTTCTTGAACACCAACTTCCAAAGCCCTCTAACCGCTGCCTCAGCTCAGCTGCTGCTGCTGCTGCTGCTGCTGCTAATGAGCGCATTTCACTTAAACGCGCTGAGGTTGTTGAAAAATTTAATATGTGCTTAGTGCATTGACTCTGCCGTCAGACCAAATTAAATTCGGTTAAACGCGGCATGCGGCCTGCCCGTTTTGCAACTTGCTACAAAATGTTGCAGTTGGCTGTTTGCTCTCTTTGCGGAAAAAGGAAACTGTTTACTTTCTTATGATTGTTACGATAAGTTCCGCTCATGATAAGATATTAAAATTTTGTAAAGTGTATGTTAGGTTTGGATAGAAACAGAAAACACCAAGGAGCAGTAGCACATTTTCTTAACAAAGCTTTATTATAAACAATTTTGAAAATAATTATGGATGGGCTTCCGAAATGAACTTAATTTGCGTAAGATTCTATTTACATTAAAATTCTATTTAAATACTGAATTACACAAAGAAGATCAAACAAAATAAATGGCATGGAAATAATTAAATCTTAGTTTGGGACAATCCTGATGAATACAAGTTTCAAATGTTATATTAATTAAAATACTGCAAATGTAAACAAAAATAACAGCTTGTGCTGCAAATATTTTATGAGTACAAACATTCATTACAAAAAAGTTTAATATCTGAAATGTTAAGATTAAGTCTCAATGATGCTTTTATTATTTTAATTGTATATGTTTTCATCGCGGCTCAAATTTAATTTAAGCTCTCAACAAAAATGTGCCCAATAGAGTCTGTCGGCTGTGCCTAGCAAGTCCATTTTGGTCAGGTCAGGTTATTAAAAGCATTATGAATAAAATGCCAGCTAAGCTTGGCCATTTGGTCAATATAAGAGTACACACCTGTATATACCTTATGTATATATATATGTATATATACTTATATAATGTTGTCTGTTGTTACTTTGTGGGTCTGCTGCAGCTGGGACGTTTCTGCCTGCTAATTGAATTGGCTGATACCTGCTGCTGTGGACACATCTCTCTGTACACCTGTCGCACACACGCACACATATATATATTATATATATATTTATATATGTATATGCGTATTTACACGCACGTGCGCACAAGAACTACTACAGCGGCGGTTCCGGCTGCCTGCCACGCCCACTTGTCGCACACAGTCAATGCCCAATTCAGTATTCCCAATGGCGTGCACCTTAATACGCATTCATGCGTACAAAGAGGCGTATGAGTGCTGCGATATTTGCCTTTCTGCCAGATATCTGCTGTTATCTGACTCAATGATGACTATGACAAGGACGCCATTTTCAGTTTCGTTTCGGGTTTGCTTTTCTTTAGCAGCCCCCTGCCTCTTTCTCTCTCTCGGTCTCTCGCTCTGCCTTTGCGGGCGTTTAATTAAATGAAGTCGTTTGCATTAATGTTGTCATTACGCATTTGCCTACGGCGCGGCGCAGCAGCTCGGCAAGTGTCGGGTAGCAAAGGAGCAGCCGCAGGAGCTGGAGACGCCACGGCACGAAATTCATTACATAAATGGAGCCCAGGTGCCGTCTATTGTCCATGTCCTGACATATGCGCAGCGGCAGCGTTATAGACAAATTTGTATTATCAGACATCGGGGTTCATGAGTTCAAATTCGATACGACAACACGTCGAGGATAATTTCTAACTTAATGCTGATTGCGATCATTTCGTAATTGCATTTATACAGCTATCTGTGAATTGAGGGGCTTTGCAGTCAGCTAAAGATTTTGTAACTATTAATTGTCGCAAATCAAATGCCCACTTGACACAAGTTGATGAGAGTTCAAACAGGTTAAGTGATTGCGAAGCACTCATGGTTGTGTGCTCTTATAGCAATATTTCCATTACTATCAATTGAGATAAATATACTGTATCTTTTTACACAGCCAGTAAATTAATTTTATTCATATATTTAGTCCCAGTTAATATGCAACAGGTTAATATGCTTAATCTTTGCAACCTTCAGCTTAGATGAGAACTTCACGAACCGAACCATAAATCTGCCTATGAAGCAATTTTATCTTTAATCTATAATCGCGGGCTTCAAAACTCTTTTCTATTCGATATCTTATCAAATAAGGATACAAAAATGTTGGATTTCTTTAAAGCTTTTTCTTTGTATTATCAAATGGATGGAAATTTAAATTAAAATGTAGGAATACAAGATACGATACCACAGCTTGGATAAAGTGCCCAGAAGGATATCAAGACTAGTTTACAGAAAAAATGATCTCGATTTTTAAAAAGAGTAGGAAATGCATAGTGCAGGAAGTTACCAAACTCATTTCCTTCTCCTCCACCAAACTCTGGCACGGATCCCTTGTGCTACGTGTGCTTCTATCTCGTTGAATGGTTGAGTTATTGCTACTAATTAAAATGGTGTCGCGCTGCACCAAACACAAGCTGATGACTTGCTTGGTGGTGTATGTTAATTGCACCATGCTGCAGTGTGGTGTCAGCTCTGATGTAGACACCATCCAACAGCGAAGAATGCATGTGGAAATTGTGTGGCACTTCTGCCAATCCATGCACCATGCACCATGCACCATGTCTGTGCTGCCAGTGGACTCTATATTCGGTTAACTCGGTTTATTCGTTCTACTTCAGTGATTCAGTCCGTGGCTGCACTCAACGTCAATTTGGCCACGCGTGTGCGTATGGCCATCATCTCTGCTGAGTCTTGATCGTGGTGCACTGGTTTATGTTGCAGTTGCAACAACTTGTGGCCGTTGTTGTCTTTGCACACGCTGATTGTTTGCTTACCAGGCGCAGCAATATTGGGGCACAAATCAAATCAAACACGGTTTCAAGCTGCGCCAGCAGCCATCGAGGCAGCCCACCAAGCTGCCAATTCATCCACGAAAACGACCTCAAGTTGCGTGCGTCCACCAAGCGACTGGGCAACCAGGCAGGCCGGCTGGTTGTTTGTATGGGCATCTACCTGTCAGCTGCCACCTGCCACCTGCCACTTGTGTCGATTGGTTTTTCATTCCTTTCGCATACACAAAACGTTGCCGCTGCTGTTGACCCAGCAACATGGCAAAAAGCACCGAGATGTGGGCCGACTGGCTTCTGGCCGAATGACCGACAGGCGACCGGCTAACCGTGTTCTTAATTACTGCAAACTCGGGCCGCGTCTGTGCGGTGCTTGCGAGCATTTTAATTGCCTCCTTCGAAAAGAAAAAAAGGAAAGCAATAAAGAACTCAAATTTAGATTTAGGAGAAGCTGCCATGCAACAAAACTGGCAACTAAGGCCTTAGCTTGCCTCAAGAAGCACTTCAACTTGTGATACTCTGCAAATACTGGACCTTGCTGGGCTATCAAAGTGGAGTGCGCATAAGTAACTTAAGCTGATGAACCAAGAGCTTAGAAACAGTATCTTTGATTGCATTCTGGACGATATACTCTACAAATAATTTTCCTGTCAAGCCGAAAAGTCTTCAGATAACGTATGCTGCAAAAAACTTGCTTCTCAGGTTGAATGAGTAAACTTTCTTTGAAAAGTGAACAGTTGAGACCATGGCTGGCGAGTTCGCTCGGCGTTGGGCGCGAGCTATTATTTCGCCTTAAGTCTTAACGCGTGGCTGCTTATTAAATTTGAATCTCTGTTACAAACCTCTCGGATTGGAAACGAAAAAAAACTAGTCCATTAATTTTATTTGACAGTCAAACAAAGGAGCGAGAGTATCAACAATAAAATGCAGCACCTAGCTGCAGTCGGGCTAGATGCGTTGGTAATTGTGTCGTTTATCCAGTCCATGTGGTACCACACATCAGTGTAGATCGAAGGCGTTGACCTTGAGCCGCAGCCCAGGCGATGCGATACGATGGCTACCAGCGTGTTGTTATCAATCATGGGCCCGCCGGTGTCGCCAGCACAAGGACTATTGTCCCCGTCCTCGTCAAAATTGCCTGCGCATAGCATTTCGGGATACAAGGTCTTCACCATGCTCAGACAAATATTACGATCCATCAGCTTCACAAAAACATGCACTAGATTGCCAGTCAGCGGACCACCCTGTAGACAGTGGTGCGAGTTGAATGACTGCGAGTGGGTTAATGCCACATCTTACCTTGAACATACGGCCCCAGCCAAGCACCATATAGCTGATACCATAATCGGGTTCCGCCTTGGGCAGGTTTATTATATCGATGCTAGGATTTCCTGTTGGCCACGAATCTTCCAGCTTGAGCAGCGCAATATTGTTTGTGCTGCGCTGTATAAAATTATCCGCCACAAAGATCCTCTGCACCTTCTTAGTAACTGTATCTTTGACGGCTATTAGTCGGTTGGGTGTGCCGCCAACGACGACAATAGATCGCAATGTGTGCTCTACTTTGCGATTGCTTTAGACAGATTCAGATTTCAGACAATTTCGTATTTCGTATTTATAAAAACTCCAAGAGATACTCACCTCATAGTACACACGGCTGCGGTGAGAACAAACCTGGGCGCAACGATGGAACCCACACAGAAATGATTGTCTCCAAAAATGATCTGCGGCTTTTGCGATCGTATGGAAACAACATATTTGGCCACCAACATTGTCTGTTCATTTTTTAGAGCTGAGGTCAAACGTTTCGTACGTTCCACAGTTTTGGTATCGGCGCGTACGATCGTCTCCAACATCAGATATAGCAGCAGAATATCTAAAACTGAATAATTTCGGTTTTGCATTTATACAAGTTTTGTAAAATGGAAGAATTCGTAATAGAGCTGCAGGCCGAGATGGTAATGCATATTCCCAGACCCAACTAATGCATGTTAATGTGTAGAGAAATCCCCTTTAACTAATATTTTTTTTCGACTGACAACTAGTGTTTCAAATGTGTGTGCTTGACTAGGGAATACCCAGTAGTCAGCTCCAAGTTGCGGGAATAAACATAACTTGCCTGTGCTTTGGTTTTTCTCTCAGCCGCGCACCTTCAAAATTGCATTCTTCTATATAATTTTTGTTGTATTTGACCAATCGTTGATAAGTTTTTCTAGTTTCCAAGTGTGTGCATATATCAGAACAGACAGGGAAAAATATTTATGAATGGACGTGCATCGACTCGCCTATGAGACCAACCAAAAGTATATAAAGATATTTATGTTAAAAATGATAACGTATGCCGGCAACAAATAAAGTCTGAACTTTTCTTTTACCGATACCTGGTACATGGCAATAAAAACTAACTTCGATATTATAATAAGCATACATATATTTATCTGAGCCCAATCTAAAATGCCACCACTGACAGTGAAAGCAAGGTGATCTTTATTATAGAATGCTGCGCAGCATTCATTATACTATTGATCCAATTTATGTGATACCACACATCCGTATAGACCGAGGGCAGCTGAGTTCTGCCACAGCCCAGCCGATAGGCAGCGACACCATACACAGTATCGTTCAAGATCATGGGCGCACCCTCGTCACCCTCGCAGGGATTCTGATCGACGGTGTCATTACGATGCTTGGCGCACAGCATTTCCTCCTTAAAGGTCATCAACATGCATTTGCATTTCTCACGATGCAATAGGGTAATATCGATATGCAAGATGTTCGTGGCCAAAGGTCCGCCCTGTAAGTGAAATTGTGAAATATCTAAGCTGCAGCAACCCTTAACATAGCAACAATAAACTCACCTTATATAATCTTCCCCAGCCAAGGACAGTGTAGCTCGCATTGAACGTGGGATTTGAGTTAGGAAGATTGATAATGCCAATGCGTGGATTATTTTTGGGCAACGGATCCCTTAGCAGCAGCACGGCAATGTTGTTGGTATTCTTACTGGTAAAATTAATGGGTACATATATATCCTTAACTGGCAAATTCACCGATACATCGTCAACGAACTTGAGCCTGTTTGGGGTGCCAGCCACAACGAGTATCGACCGGCTGGAGTACTTGAATTTGCTCTTGCTTTGGGCAAGGGATATACATTAAATTTGATCTAGCGGTCTACAAATGCATTTCTACCCACTCCATGACGCAATGGGCAGCAGTTAATACATATCTGGGTGCTATTATCGCACCACCACAAAAATGATTATCCCCAAAGTAAAGGCGAGGTGTACGGGACCGGATGGAGACCACATACTTGGCCAGCGCATTCACTCGGTTCTTGTCGTAGTCAGGCGTTGAAAGGCGTTTCACGCGATTGTCAAACAGAGTGGGTTCTACGCACAGCAACAAAAACAGCAGTAACGTCTCTTTCACTGAACAATTTCGATAGTTCATTTCGAGCTACAAGTGTTTCCAATAGTTCTAATAAAAATTTTGAATAAATTTCCTGGCAAATTATCTGTCGAATTGTGCTCCAATTCCGACCACTATATCCATCCTCCGGCATTGCAAACTAACTTATTTATGCGCGAATTAACTAACTAACTATTTATTTTCAAAATATTCCAAGTACAGTTAAATCATAGAACAAGTGTTTTTAAAATTTATTTATACAAATCATTTTTAAAACGAATGAAGCGTTGACAGTTTTCTAAATTGGGCTTTGCTTAAAGCTTCCAGTTCCCCTTAATGCTTACATCATCAATTCTATACATTTTTCATTCAAACGAATGTTTCGGTGCCTGAACCGGAGAAAGTTTGAGAGATCTTTTTTCAACACCTTATCTTCCCGCATTATCTCAAGTCGCTTGTCTTAAATAGGTTTAAGGAATGATTTAAGGAATGAAAGGTATTGCGAAATTAGTCAAACTAAAAAGTTGCTTTCAGCGATTTTTACTTGCAGGTGAAAGTTTTCATCAATTGCGGTAACTGAGGTAAAAGTTGTAGTTTTCTAGCCCCTACGCCTTGGGCTGAACGTTGACCACCGACTTGTCTATCATTCAGGTCAAACAGTTATATATACACAACATATATAGATATGTATCCGTATCTGCAAAGTTTTTGAATCTCCGGTACTCCTAAAATAACTTCTCTTGCTTGCCAATAATATTGTTATGTTTTTTTTATAATATTGCTAGACTACATTTAACATTTCAATTTGTTAAGCAGCTTATGCTTCTATTCGTTCGATTTGACGCTGTCAGTCAAGTATTTCTATTTCTGTTGAAAATTTGATTACATTTTAAATGGTTGCTCCACACAATTTAGGAAGTTCAGCTCCGGGTATTCGACTCAGCTATGTTTTGGCCAGTTGTCAGTCAACGATTCTGAAATACTTTTAGTGGACTTCTGTGGCTGCGGCAGAGCTGTGACAGAGCTTGGGTTGAAGTTCGTTCGAGCGGGCAACCCGCCTCAATGTCAATTCAGTTGACAGCTGTTCCACTAAACACTTGACTATTGTAATTTTCAATGTGTCAGATATGTGCGGGTGGTATATGATGGGGGGCTTGGTGTTTCAAGTTTTTATTACTTGACTTCCGTTTTATGTCCTTTTTTGTATATTGCGGCAATTCTACAGCCACTTGCAGCTACCAGTTGCCAACTCTTTTAACTGTCTGTGTGTGTGTGTGTGGCGTTGCTCTCAAGTATGTTTTAAGCAAAGTTTGCGCATAAACTTTTAGGCAAAAGTATTTCTGGCTACAACGCTCAAATATTTTCATTTGCTTGTGGCAGCTGCACCAAATAATTGTGGCTCTGTTGGCTATCTCGGCCTCGCTCACACTGTCTTTGGCCACATCGTGACTGGCCGCTTCGCTGATTTGTGGCAAGCAAATTTATTGACAATTCATGGCGCCAACACCACCACCACCACTACCAACACCAACACCAACACACCAACACTATGAACACCAACTCCGGCACCACTCAACAGCCGCAAAAGCTATTCAAGCGGTTTTTTTTTTCTGTTGAACTTTGGCGCAAGTTTGTCGCAAGTTGTGCTTTCCGGCTGGCCGCCCATGACAAACTGCCTGCCCATTTAAGCCGTAGATTTTTCATTTTTCATCTTTTGCGCCACTTCTTCTGCTTCTTCTGTAAGCACTCGCAACGCCCAGACGGAGCGCGGCGCGGCAGAATCTGTGCCTGCAAATGGCCAAAAGACAACAAAGTTTAAATTAATGGTACTCAACTATTAGCAAAAATTAAAAAGCCGCCACGGTTTGAGTCTTCATGCGAGTCAAGTGGGGGCCATTGGCGAGCTGCTGCGAAAAACTTCAAGAGGGCGTGGCTATGGCGGCTGGCAGCGGTCACGCCCATGGCCTGAGCCACAGTTATTGGGGCCAGAAATACCGGCAAAATGGGGGCCAATTAGCGCTGACAGCGAATTTAAGTCGAGCAACAGGCCAGAATATCAAATGTGCGTGTGTATGTGAGTGTGTGTATTTTCTCACATTCGTACACACACAAAAAACTTTAGTCTACGTGACATGAAAATGCACTTTCACTTGGCCAAAAATGGCTGCCAGGAAACTGTAAACTGTAACTGTAACTGTAACTGGAACTGTAACTGTAACTGTAGCTGTAACTGTAATTTTAACTTTAGGTTCAATTGTAACTGTTAACTGTAACTTGGTCAACTGACTAAAAGTAAATGGCTGTTGCGGCTGCTAACACATTTTTTAAGAATTTATGCACCTGAATTAATAAATTAATTTGACTGATTCGAGTGTATGTGTATGTGGGTGTGAATGCTGTGTGTGTGTATGCGTATCTGTGTGTGTGCAGCAAAATTAATTCGAATTTATTGCGCAACTCGAGCAGCGGTAAGTGCAAATACATGTCGCTCATACGCCGCGTTTGCCGCTCAAATTAATTAAACAATTTTGCATTGTACGGCAACAGGGACATGGCGGGTAGCCTTTGAGGGGCAGCAAGAGCTTTGTCGGTCCTCAGCCCAGAGCTGATGCATTGCTTTTGGTGCTCTAATTGAATTAAAGGCGCTTCATGTCAGCGCAGCGCAATAATTAAAAGCGGTTGGCCTGATAATCAATTGGCAGCACAGCTGGAGACAGGTAGAGCAGCAACAGCAACAACAAGAACAGCAGTAAGAAAAAAACAACTGCTGAAAGTTGACAAAGCAACGGTGGCCACAGTGGCCGTAGCAACTGTGGCAGCAGCAACAGGCCAGTCAGACAATTGGCAGCATTCGAGTAATAGAAATATATTGGCGCCGCACGCAGCTTCAAGCAAGCTTCTTGGCCACGGTAGTCAAGTGCCACTCGTGCTGTTTTCTGTGTGTATATATATATGTGTGTGTGTGTGTTTGTGTTGACCCATGAATTGCCAAGTGAGCCAGTTGCCAGCAGCTGCTTAAAACTAATGAACCACCCGCTCGCGCGCGTGTGTGTGTGCATACACGCATCCCTTCATGTGTTTAGATGTCTCATTTTCATCTACATGCCCCATAAAGGCGCACGTAATTAAATCTAACTTTATTAGCACATTTGTTCAAGTGATCGAACTCTTTGAATGCTGCCAAGCGCTCATAAGAGACCCACAGCCCAAAAACAAAAGTCAAGGAAAACAAAAGAGAAAAAACTCTGTCGATTATCTACATACCTGCCCATTGACCACACGTGCCACATGTTCAATGAATATTGCTTAAATAAGCCATGAACAGAACGTGGTGAATTTTTTTCAAAGGTTTTTTCTACTTTAGTGCAAGGAAAGTCAAATTTAAACAAATGGCAGCATGGAATTCGAATTCACAGTAATATATCTACTTTATATAGCATACTTTTTGGGATATTCTAAATAAAATACAACTTTTATAAGGAAAAGTTAACATGTTGGCTTGCGAATAAAAGTATGCTAAAAACAGATATGCAGATATTTTTGTTCCTTAGATGGAGGTGTTCAGGTGTGTTATAAACGTAACAGAATATTCTCTTGCCATACAAAATAACTTAAGAATAAAAGTTTTTGTTTGGCTTGGAAGAAAAAATAAATAAAATTGGAGCTTGTTAATTAGAAAGCTTCAATATGTAAGACACTTGTATATTATTTTTTTTTGTGGAAGTTTTATTATTTGTATAGTTATATTTACATATAGTTATACATTTAAAAATTAAAGATATAGAGCACAATTAAATTCGATACAAAATATTGAAGAAAAAATCAAATAAATAATACGAATATTAAAAATTGGTCTACATAAAAAAAAAAAAAACATCTAACAGCCTTACAGCTTAAGCATTCGCTTACTTTCATTTAGAAATTTAGATACAAAGCGTTAAATGCATTTCAAATGAAATTTTTAAACTAGATTTTGTATCGTTACGAAAGTGAAATTCACAGCATGTTTTATTTATTATATTTCAAATACTTATTTTTTAACATTTGCTCTGCTTCTACACAAATTTACTGCCTTTTGCCCCCTCCAACCTAACATCAATGGAATAAAAAACAATTAGTTTAAGCTTTATCCAGTATTTTATTAATACACTATAAATAAATATAAGTTGTTCGAATCTTGTTGTTGCTGTTAATTGTTGTTGAATGTTGTTGTGAATTGCAGTTGTTGTTAAAGGCCGAGTCACCTGTAGCCAAAAAAAAAAAAAAAACCACCAACCACTACATCACCACTGTCCGTCACTTTAGCTGTCCCACCCTTTTTTTCTTTATATTTCACTCTGTTTATAGCAGCTTCCTTTCCAAGTACACACAAATGTTTAAAATGGTTAATATGCAAATAATCTTACTATCTGCTCACATTTCTCTTGTTTTTCAAAAAAAAAAAAAAAAAAAACAATATAAATAAAACAACAAATAAACAAAAACTCGGACATAAATTCAAAAAATTATGTAATTAATGCAAAAATCTATAAAAAAAACAATTGCCAATGATTTCAACTGAATCGCTTGGATGGCTGCAGCCGAGCTTAACAAGGCCACGCCCAGTGGCCGCTTGTGCCGCACAGCGGCCATTGATGGTGGTGACGCAGACGTCAACGCGGACGTCGACGCCGCCGCCGACGCCAATGCTGGCTGTGACGTCAACGATGTTGCTGACGATGATGAACGATGGCGACCAAATGTGCTGAATGCAGCAACTGCAACACTTGACAGCAGACAGACCAAAACGACAGCAACTAAAATAACAACAACAATAGCGAAACATCAAAACAACAAAAGAAATACAACAACAACAGCAGCAACAACAACTAAAACCAGTCAAAGATTGGCGCCACGCGCCAGCTTTCCTGAAATAATGCAGCCACGGCTATCCCTAAACGGCATGCTAAATCCACCGTATCCATCGTTGATGCCATCGCCGCGTCCTCTGTACCGGGATCACAGCTCGAGGTCGATAAATCCGCTGACCGCTTACGAACAGCAAATGGCCGAGCTCGATGGCAG